CATTTTCTTCAATGTTTTTAAGTTAAAAATGCAATTTGACATTTTAATTTTCTTCTTTTATAATTTTGCAATTGACCCCCCTAAGATAAATTCCTAGCTTCGCCACTGGATGTGATGATCTTGTATCTAAGAACGAACAATCCAATTCTTGTTTGAAGTATTTAAGATGCAACTGATATATTGAGGTATCATTTCAATGGCTTGAGTTTTGAATTTTGGAAAGTTTTTTTACAAAACTTTCATATTGCACGATTGAAACAGTTCGACACCTCTATATACAATTGTTGTAGTATTATGAATGTATTAATTATATTTTTTAATTAAATCATACATATGTCATTGATATTGAAATTGAAATTAACTTTTGTTTTTTTAATAATTTTTCTAACATATGTCATTATCTTATAAGTTAAAGGTGCAATTAATGTATTTTTAATTTTTAAGTCATATAAAAAATAAAAAAATGATATTTATTTTAGCACTAATTCCACTTATATTAATTTAATTGAGTAATTACTAAAATTAAAATCAACATTTATATTTTATTTTTCTTTATAAAATTAACATTTATTTTTTCTATATGACTTAAAAGTTAAAATATACAATAATTACACTTTAAACTTATGTCCTAAAATATAGATTAGAAAAACTCATTAACAATTAATAACCCTTAATATGTACTATAGGGTGCAAGTTAGATAAACTCTTATTTTTATTACTAATATCAAATTGAAGTTATCTTTTAATTTTTTTATAAATTAATTAAAAAAATATAATTAATACATTATTAACTTGTATTAAAATACCTATTAAAAATACACTAGTGATTGTCAATTCATCACCAATCTTGAAAGTGACGTATATAGTTTAAATAATATATAGCATTTTCACAAAGTTTGGCATTGTTTACTTTGGTGTTTTCTATCAATTGATAGTGATAAGTGTTAGCTCATATTAGTTTAAAATTTACTTACAGGTCTAAATATTTTAATATACTATTTAGGAAAAAAAATTATAAGATGAAAAAATTAACAAAAGTAAATACACCTTTAAACTCTATCAGTACTAAAAGAATTAAGAGTTTGTTCGACAATCGGCTTATGATATTTTTAACATCTATAGATTACGAAAAGGAATTAATTAATCTACTTCCAGCAAGCAGCTATGAGAATTAAAGACAGATAGTACTGAGAATTTGGACTCATTCTAAGATTAAGACTTAATAACAGTATTAAAATTTTCATGCTATAGTGTTTCTTTTAGAATTCTGCTCTTGTTCTTCCCTCTTGTTTGTGAATTGGTATTCTTTCCATGGAAAAATTTCATATATTAATTGAAGATTACAATGAAAGGGAAACTAAGTTAATGTTTATTAAGTTATTGTTTATTATTCTCTTCTTTCATTTCTTGAACTCAACTTAGATTAGTGAAAGTGTTTGGTAAAATTTAAAAAGTATTACTTTTCTCAAAAATTTAAAATTTTATTAGAGAAAAATACTTAAAATTAACTATTTAAGTGTATTTTAGACAAATTTTTAAAAAATTGTACACCTAAAATTTTATCAAAACTTAATTAATATTCACTTTAAAAAACAATTGTTAAATTTCCCTTAAACAAAATTTCAAACTTATAAATAGTACTTTAAAACAAATGTTTTTTAACATTGGCTAAACATCTTTAGTATATTTGAGAAGAGCCTTTAAAAAAAAAAATTCAAATACTATCATTATTATTTTAATTTGAGCCTAATTATGAGTCATGAATAGAAGACTAGCTAGTTTTCTACCAAATTTATAATCAATTAAGTGAAAAAACATGTTCATTATCTTTAAAATCTGTAGTTTTACTTAGAGACAAAAGTTTATGACCATTTGAAAAAAAAAAGAAAAGACCCAAGTCTTTGACTTGTTGCAAATGTAACTTGTGAGAAAATAACCTCCTTCAATTTTTTTTTTTTTTTTGCATATATTATTTTGATCTGATATAACTAACAAGACAAAAATTTTCACATGAATGAAAGATTTGAATGAGTCTTGGTCATGGTATTATGATCCAAGTCTTCGTCAATGCCCTTGTGTTCAAATTGTAAAACGGCTTACTTTTTCCCTTTTGAGGTTTTAAGTAATATTAATTACACCATGCTTGTGATGGATGATGTTTACATATGAACTATTATTGTGATTAGGAAGTGATGTATGTATCAGTGCTTTATATTACTTTTCAATTTCACTAGAACTTTGCAAGAAATGAATAGATGAAATTCATGGTATATTATCCCAAGAAAAATTAATGTGCTAAAATTTACTAATAAGAGTAGCAGTCACTTAAGTAATAAAATAATGAAGTAATAAAAAGAGCGTCAAATCTACAAAAATTATAATTAATTAAGTACAAAAAAAACTAATTTTAAACTTATTCAAACAAATTAAAAGAGAAGAATTTTTAATTAAAAATAATTAAAAAATAACAATTTAAAATAAAATTTACCAAGATACAATATGTTAAGACATCTGATTTCACCATAAGCAATCAATGTAGATTTTAAATTATTATACTTTTAAGATATTTACTATTCATATAACAATAGAATTTACTATCATTTTTAATATACTTTCTCTAATGAAGGCTTACCAAAGATATATTAATTATATAAAGACTACAATTTATTGATAATTTACTATATAGGTATTACATAAAATCAAATTTCTACTACTATCTCATTTATAGATTGCTATTTTATCCAATCCAAAAATTGGTTCCTACTTTAAAATTTCTTCAACTCATATTAAGGATTGGCATATGCATAATATTTATTGTAGGTCAATTTTCATATTTATTGCTATGAAAATTAAAATAGTGACGGAAGATAATAAACTAATACAAAGTTTAGGATCTATTCATCTATAATCTAAACAAGGAAGATTAAATAACAAAATTAAACTTTGCAAGTTGACCCTTCAAGTGAATATGGTTTATTAATTTTATAACTTAACATGTAAAGCTAAAAGCAAAACTAATTTGCAAAGTAGAAGTGAGGAAGAAATTGAATTGATTGTAATGAGTTTATCATTCAGTACTAGACCTCAGTTGTAAGGATTTTCTTCATAAAAATGTAATTGAGAAATAATAAGTAATTACATAGAATTTAAAAAAGAGATTCCTATCCATCCATTAAACGTGGATCTTTCCATAATTTGAAATTTCTATAACTATCTATCTCACTCATAGACTTAAATTGTCTAGAAATTGATTTCTAAATTCTTCCACTCTTATATTATAGATTGACATATACATATATCATATTTATTGCTTGTCAATTTCCACATTTACTTGACAAATGTGGTCAAACAAATGTAAACGAAGAAACTTGCAAGCAATTGCAAGGAAGGGATGAACAGAGAGGAGTAAAGGACTTGAGTTATTTTGGCCTTTTTTATAAAGGGTCCAACATTAACGTTGCTACTTTTTGGACGAAATAATTTTCCAGCACATACAGTTCTCTTTCTTTAAGTTTTGGCTCTCACTTCTTGTCACTTTATTGTTCTTACTTTCTTTTTATTCTTTGGGATTCATTACAATATGAATTACATATTAAAAGTGAAATTCGCTCTATAAATTTATTAAAACATCTTTAATAAAATTAACATAAGAACCTTGTCCCCCATTAACCCACATTTTCCAGTCAACAACCTTCTGCTTCCACAAGGTTTTCTAACAGTGTGAAGTGTTGTGAAAAGTTCTAGATGATGGTGAGGCGTTGAGGCACTGCCTAGCCCCTAGGTGCACCCTAGCATTTTCCTCTTTTTTTTTTCTTTTTTTTTTTCCTTTTTAAAATTCAAAAAATGTCAAAAAATAGAAAAAAAAAAAAATAAATACCAAAAAAAAAAACTAAAAAAGAAAAAAAAAAGTTTAAAAGCAAGTATTACCATAAACACATCTATAGTATTGACAAATTAAGATTTTTTTTTTTCATTTTGCTCCATCACCTTGCCTAGGCACTAGGCAGTGAAGCTAAGCAAGCTATTTATTCTATTTTTTAGATTTTCTGTTCTATTTTGGCATTTTTTTGCAATAAAATTAAAATGCCTAGAGCGTTTAGGTGGTGCTCAAGCAGCACCAATGGTGCAAGGCAGTGGCCCAACACCTAGGCACTGCCTAGCGTCTTTTGCAACACTAAGACACATGAAACCACCGCCACAGCAACCCAGGCAAGGCACCAGCCACCACTCCGCCTAGTTGCGCATTTTTAACACTTGTGAACTCATACAAACAAAATATGACACCTGAATCCTAAATGCTGCCTTGGTTGCAAGAGAGTAGTGGAGACACTAAAGAAATCAAGGACGAAAAGAAGCATAAGCATCAACAACATCAAGTACTGCAGTCTATTTGATTTTGGACAGAATACCCTATACAGGCTACATAGTTATATTAAATCAAAATTAATGTTCTTTAAATTTTATTTAACTTTTAAAGTTAAGACATTCTCATCATGTATGTGTTTACAGCAGTTTCCACTCTGCAGTATTTGAGATTATGCTTAGTCCACTGTTTTAAATTAAAACCTGTTAACTGGAAAAATCCCACCTTGGTGAATTAAAGGGAAACCTATGGACTTCAAATACAATGTGGTACTCCACATATTACAATTGGTTTAATTTAGATAGTTACATGGTATCAAAGCCCAGGGCGAAGTTGTATGAGCAATCCAAGGGGGTAGTTGATGTTAGGAGAGGTTGTGATCCTAGTCTGTCTCTATGAGGGTGTGTCACATGTAAGAAACTCATGTCAGTGAATTATAGGAAACCAACAGATTACTCCACCTATTGCCAATTGATTAGAGGTTGGATGTTTAAAATACAATTTCCTTTCACCTCTTAAACATAAACAACCTAAGTCCCAACAATTCAAATCCAAAATCCCTCTTGCTACTCAATACCAAAGATAGATAAATGAGAGAGACAAAAACCTAACTAAAGTCAGACCCTAAGACTACTTTTATTGTATAATCTACCTAAAGATCTAGTCACTGAGATATATTATGGTTTGAAAAGTACTAACCATATGGAAAACAATCCAATTCATGACATAGTGTTTTGCATTTATAAAATTGACATGCTGTATCACCATTTAAGAAAACTGGATTTGGGGAATGTTTAAATCAATTCAAGCACAACCATAGAATAATTTCAGTTGACTTGAAAATTATAAAACACCAAAACTAAAGAGATCATGAATACTAATAATGGATTTAACCAAGACAACTGTAAAGACTGAAGAAAGAAGCATAGCCAATATACCTCCAACAGTTCAGAACCCCATGGAGGACTTGTTCGAAGAGTGTGTCTATCATATTCAAGAAAAAAAATCCCGTATGCGCTCATTAATTGGATAAAAAGATGAGCAAAGCCTTAATTGCAATTTAAAAATAGTTTTTCCAGCTTCCAAATAATCCAGCCTCTCCTACAATTAAAAGATATGGATTAATAAATAATCATCTGACACAGTAAAATGTAACCATCTATGTGATAATGAAACTAGGCTAGTTTTATTTATAACAAACCATTGAAAAATTGGAATCTTAAACACAATGAAAAAGAATTAGTTACATAATTGGGTGTGAATATCATTTCATAATTTACAACGTAGAAAGGTTCAAACAAATTAATTTTTTCTTGTGACCAGAGGTTAACATATGTCAAAATCAAAATACCTTTCCATTTTCTTGAAGATACTGTGGAACCAGTTCTCTCATAAATTTCTGATCGCAACCTGAGTACAGAACGTAGTTCAACAGGATGAAATCATTGAATGATGTAACGAGGAAAAAAATGAAATGATGCAGACAACAAAAGCATGAGAAAAAGTCATGTCTAAATTACTAGAAAATATACTGTTATGGCATTTAGTTGGCATCAAAGAAGGCTAGGACCTAATACAGACTAGAAAAATGCTATAATATCTGGTTTCTCAGTTTCTTTATGACAAAAAGCTGCTGGTATTTTATTTTTATTTTATTAAATTTTAGGGGATGGGGAATAAATTTCTTGAGGTATAAACTATAAACAATCATATATGAATTTTATGATTCAATAACTTCATACACTAAGCTTAGGTAATGAGAGTTCTTGATGTTAAATACCACCGCTGTTGTTTTTAATAAGATTTTGTCAAACTTATCCGAATAAACTAGGTAGCATTTCACTGTAAGGTGAATGAAGACTCACATTGATATCATCCAAGTACCCACAACATAAACCAGGAAAGTAACCTGACAATTGAAATTATAACATTAGCTTAACAAACCACTAGAATACCGAATAGGTGATTATATTTCTGCCCCCTGTTTATTTCCAATACCATGAACTACCATAACAATCACTTCAGTAGCAGAACAAATAATGTAAGTTAATAAATCATCAAGGAAAGAAACAAAACAAAAGATAACAAACATAAAGGCAGTTGCATACTGTGCATGGGTGGATAATGGAAGTGCTGCATGTCCAATTACTACCTGCCAAGTAAAAGAACAGAACTACTTAGGATTGCAATAAAAGATAGAATGAGAGGAGTGCGAA